AATTGCTAGTCAATCAACAGCTCCTTAAATTAGTTAATAGAATGGTGACAGACTGAAAAATAGCTTTTACCAATGTACAAAATTAATGGCATAAATATAGAAACATTCCTAGGAACTGCAAATCAAGAAGTAAAAGGCAGCAATCTCATTGTAAAAATGAGCGAAAGATAAGAGTGTGATCTACTAAGTGAAACACTGAGTAACTAATAATAGAGAGTTACTAGTATCTGAGAAATGAAAATGCAAAGGAGATACTATATTGGCAAGAATTAGTGAGGTCATTAATTCCAAATGCTGGGTGGAAGTTTAAGCCGATTTTACCATTTTGGAAAGTACCCTGGAAGCACTGAGTTAGCAAAATTAATTATTTGGATTTCTGTCCCACATAACTTCTGTAAAGGTCCACAAGGAGACTAGTACTAAGATATTTATTTCATAATTGTTCGTGGTAGCAGAAAGTTGGTCGCACAGGTGGCCATCTCTAAGGGAATTAATGAGTTAACTTTGACAGGTACATAGTATGGGATGCATAAAAGAAGCAAATTACTGGATGTATATAGAGCACTTAGGACAGGTCCTTAAAATACAACATAAAGGGAAAAATAAGACCTGTTTTATAATGCCAGTTTAATACATTAAAGCCTATACAAATATATGTAGACACATACATACATATGTGCATATATCTTCAAGGGCATACATTACACACTAGAAGAGTGCCCATTTAGCAGAGGGGAGTGGGAGTGGGTTTAGGAATAAAGGAGAATAAAATGAATAAGTAATACAAGAAGAGGATCTCGTATACTGAGATCTTGCATGGCTACTGAGCATACCATGAACAAAGAGCCGAATGATTAACCCTCAGTGTAAGGCAAAAATAAAATACAATGAGGTTGGAAGGAATAACATGTTTTAAAAAGAGTAAAAGTTCTAAAACATCAAAATAAAGTTTCTGTTCTGTTCCAAGAGGAAAGGACAGATATCCTTTGGTAGAAAAATAGTAGGTATTGTTACAGAAATGGAGAGATACAGGACAAACGAGCAGGATAAGAAAATGCATTATACATGGAAATGAACATGTAGATAATGCCAGAACTATGCTGGGTACTTTATATTGTCATCATGTTTAGTACTGCAAGACTTGGACCCATATGTTCTTATTCTTACAGAAAATATTCTTACAACTACATAACAAACAGAAGCTGAGACTCAGATAAGTAGATGATGTAAGGTTATGTTATAAGAGCAGAGCTAGCATTCTAAGTCCCATCTGACTCTAAAGCCATGAGTACAGTCATGAATCCATCCTCACAGTCAAGGTAATGTGCCTATCCATTACCCCATGTTTTCTCGTGCCTTTCACTCAGCGTAATAAGATCCATTCATATTGATTGTGTATCAATAGTTTATTCTCTTATTTGCTGAGTAGAATTCTATCCTATGATGTACCACAATTCATTGCTCCATTCACCTATTGACGTATTCAATACGTACCGTGTCTCCAGATTTAGGTGATTACAAATACAGCTATTAACGAACATTCATGTCGAAGTCTTTGTGTGGATATATGTTTTCATTTCTTTGGGGCAAATAGTTAGGATTCGAATGACTGGATCACATGGTCAATGTATGTCTTAACATTTTAAGCAAACTACCAAACTGTTTTCCAAAGTGCTTGTGACATTTCATGTTTCTTTAGCAGTGGATACCATTGGTGGTTGCCTCACATCCTTGATAAAATTTAGTATGGTCAGTTTTTAAATTTTAGACATTCTGTTGGGTGTACAGTATGTCTCATAATTATTTAATTTGAATTTCCCTTGTGGTTATATTTCATGTGTTTATTTGCCTTCCATATATCTTCTTTGGTGAAGTGTCGAAATATTTTGACCACTTTTAATTGTCTCTCATGGTTGAGTTATAAGAGATCTTTATATATTCTAGATGCAAGCTTTTTGGGAAATATATGTTTTGCAACTATTTTCTCTCAGCCAGTGGTTTGTCTTTTCATTTTCTCATAGTGTCTTTTGAATAGAAAATGTTTTCAATTTTACTAGTCTATTTATTTGATTTTAGAATTTTATACTTTGTGATTTTTGTGTCAACTTGAAGAAATCTTTGCCAAACCCATAGCCACTAAGATTTTCTCCTGTTTTCTTCTAGACGATTTATAGTTTGACTGTTAACATTTAATCCTATGAGCCATTTTGAATTAATTTTTTTGTCTGTGTTTATGGTATGGGGTAAGGGTCAAAATTAATATTTTGCACACATCTATCCAATTTTTGAAGTAGAATTTGTCGAAGAGACGTCCCCCCTTGTATAG